TTCAGGTAACGGTCGCAGGAGCTTTACATAGTTCAGATATTAAAGCACTTGAAGCAGCAAGCGTACCGACGAATGTACAGAAGCGCACCGTGGGCGAATCAAGTTTCAGACGAGGTATCATTGTCCCATAAAAAGGAGTACCTACCGACCTCCCATTGGTCAGCATTCTCCCACACTTTACCTCTTTAGCTCTCTGTTGGCTCCTGGAGACCGAGAAACTGGCCTGCTTGGATACGAATGCTCAAGGTCTTTTTAATAAACTGGCCGAACTGAAAGATCAGCAAGCTTCCGGGTTTTATGATATCATTGGTATCAGCGAGACTTGGTTTCACAGTGGAATGACGGATGCTGAAATTTCGCTACGGGACATGTCACTGATGCGTTACGATAGGCTCATGAAAGGAGGAGGGGTAATTTTGTATTACTGAAGGGGCTTATAGTGCAAAGCCGTGGAGGATTCAGACTCGCTGTTCCCCGACTCTCTTTAGTGCCGCGTACAGTTAAAAGTCGGAGACGCTTGCCTTATTGTCTTGGTGTACACCCCCCAACTCTACACCCGAAACCGACTGCCACCTTACGGCTGCTTTAAGATGCAGTTTACAGCGAAAGTACACTCACATACTTATCATGGGTGATTTCAACGTACATTGTTTAGAAACTCCTGTCACCATCGGAGAACAATTCAAAGCCGATCTACAAGATCTCGTAATTACTCTTACCCTTTACAATCACATCACTTGCTACTCGGTTCGGAACAGGTAACAGGCCATCTGTACTGGATCTTGTGCTTACCAACGAAGAGCATATGATTGATGTGTTGGTTTTAGATTGCCCGTTAGGTCGCAGTTATCACGCAGTCATCAGTTTCAACTTCGTCAGTTATGCGGAATATTGGAAAGACAAGGATGAGACTATGCGAACCATCACAAGCTACGATCGATTAGCCAAGCTCATCAGCGCTATAACTTGGTTCTTCCTCGCCGAAGAACGCCCGGAAGTAGCCTGGCTCGAGTTCGTCAACAAATCAGCCAGCCGATTGCAGAGGCTTCAGAAATAAGCGTTTGCAATAAGTGTACATCAGTTTATTTCGTTAGCAGCAGAACTCGAAAATGAATGAGAGTACGCAACGCAGCATGGCGAGTGTACAGAGAAGCTCCTGCGCCACAAACTTGGGACAACTACGTAGCCCAATGTAACCACTGCACTCAATTGCTAAGAAAAGACAAAGCCGCTTATCAGCAGAACATCGCAAAAACCTTCAGTGCTAACCAAAAATGGGTGTAAAAGCCCGTCAATAGCCTGCGAAAATTGAGGCAAGAATTGCATCCACTTAGGACGGCTAATGACCCAACAAGAACGCCTGTGGAAGCAGCAAACGCGCTGCGGATGCAATATGCCCCCACGTTTCAGAGGGTTTTGCCATCAAGCGATCTCCCAACCCTTGTCGTCTCCTCGCCAGGAGTAACCCATATCACTTTTACCGCGGAGGCTGTATTGCAAAAGCTGACGTCTCTACGCAAACACAGCTCACCGGGTGTCGACCCCATGCGTCCAGAGGCACTGGAAGCAACAGCATGTCAACTGGCAGGACCTTTAGCTCAGTATTTCCAGCGCTGCTTAGACCAGAATCATGTTCCTGCCATGTGGAAGCTTGTAATAATAACCCCGATTCACAAAGGTGGAAGCGGAACTGATCCCTCCAACTACCGCCCATTATCCCTTCTTCCTATACTCTCCAATGTCATGGAATCCATACTTGCCGATGCACTGGTGTGTTATCTGGAAAACTGTAACGTCACCACGTCTGAACAGCACGGCTTCCGTCGATTGCGGTCATGCACAACGAGTTTACTGATCGCACGCAGTAGTTGGTCCGAGTCAGCTGAAGCTTGAGAATTCCTTGATGTCATCTACCTGGATTTTTCGAAGGCTTTCCTGTAAAGTTGCATAAAACGTCCAAAATTTTGCACAGAGAGCGCAAAATTTTGCAGAGAAAGCTCAAAATTTTGCAAAGCAAGTGCAAAGTTTCACAAAACTCTGTGAGATTCGCCAGCCGCTCTGAGCCAATCCTCTGATCTCAAGTGTGTTCTCATTGGCCGGGTGCTGGGGCTTGGTGCGTAATTCGTGAAATGAGCGCGGTGCCCGTTGACTAGCTGAGACTTGTGAATGAACCTTGAGTCCATGGACATGGGCGGTACAAAGAGCTACTATGCCCCCCCCCCTCACGTCCGAAACGCTGGATCACAATTGGTCTGAAATCAATGAATGGCCGGAACATAAGCACACCACTGAATGGATCACCTACATCATCGAAAATTTGTGTACATCAACTTCCCAGCTGTCCGCTTCCCCAATGGCTTCAATAAGTTATCGAAATGATTCTACGTTGTAAAACGTGGTAATGATAGAACATCAGATTCAGACTAGCGAATTTTTAAGGTCCCTGTACCATTCATCTGGCAGTGTCAGACCATGTGAGCGACTTTCCTCTTATTCACCCATTCGATGTTATCCGGGTCTGCTTGTAAATGTTCATCGGGTGTTCTTGCCCACGTGAACAACGTCGGAATCCTGCTCCGATCAACATAGATTCCCAGCTTAGTACGAAATAATGTTCCACTGTCACACAACATGATTGTGAATGGGAGCCTATTACACCGGACCGCACATTTGAGTAAAAAGCAAATGGACCGCGTTTTTGTCCTGCATCATGGGATAATCAGTGTTTGGACGTGAGGGAGTGGGGCGGGCACATAGTAGCTCGTGACACCGCCCATGTCCATAGACTCGAGGTTTGTTCACAAGTCTCACCTAGTCCACGGGCACCGCACTCAGTTCACGACTTACGCACCAAGCCCCAACACCCGGCCAATAAGAACACACCTGAGATCAGAGGATTGGCTCAGAGCGGCTGGCGAATCTCACAGGGTTTTTCAAAAGTTTGCACTTTCTTTGCAAAATTTTGAGCTTTCTCTGCAAAATTTTGCGCGTTCTTTGCAATATTTTGGACTTTGTATGCAGCTTTGCGGGAAATGCTATGGACCATCGGATACTATTCTCCAGGCTCCAGCATTACGAGATCGGCGACACTCTCTTAAGCTGGATTGCCAACTTTCTACTTCAGCGGCAAATAGTCGTCAGAGTTCGGGTCTCTTTATCGGACCCCATACACGTTGAGTGTGGTGTGCTGCAAGGCTCAGTATTAGGTCCACGTTTGTTTTAAGTGTTTATTAATTACCTTGCACAGGGAATCGCCGAGGCTCCTCTACGCTACTGCACGCCACTCAACTACGCACTGATGATGTCAGTTCGATTGGTGACAAAACGTTTGCAACAGCGAACAGTTCAACCGCCAAACTTCCTAATGTTTGCCGACGATATCAAGATTTGGAGCGGGATCCAAGAGAACACTGGCCAGCATCTGCTTCAGAGACCTATATACGGTATATCAATGGTCAACCCAACATTTACTGCATTTCAACGTCAGCAAATGCAAGATACTTTCCATCCGACATCAGAGCAGCTACTCATACCGGCTCGGAACGAACGTACTGCAACAATCAACTGTCGAACGTGACTTTGGTGGCTTCGTTCGCTCCAGCCAGTCCGAAAAGACCTCGAAGACTGGAAACCAACACGTCGGGCTGTTGTGACGAGCATTTGAACACATGAACGGCTCCCTATTTTATTAAGTGCTCAGTGCGTATGTTTGTCCCCATGTCGAACACAAAATTCAAGCCTTGCATCCATGGCTGAAATACGACCTTAATGCACTAGAGCAACCACAACGTCGGGCATCTAAGAACGTAATTGGAATGCGCAATCTTTCATACCAGGAGCGGCTGCAACGAGGTGACCTGATTATGGCATACTTGATTCTGCGAGACCCACATCATGTGTGCCTCCCTTTACTGCAACTCATCAGCAATACAACCCTGAGGGACCACTTATTGAAACTCGCTGTATAGTGTAACTGTCTGGAGTGCTGCAGAAATTTCGTTTCCTTTCCTTTCTGTTTCTCGTGGAATGCTTTATCAGAATCAGTTGTCTGCACCGACACTAACAGTATTTAAAAGACGGTTAGATGACGCAGTCATCCATTTACAATTTGTCACTTAGCACTACATCTTCATCCTACACCTTGAGTTTCCCGTGGAATTATTTGATGTTAACTGCGGGTGATGTGTATCTAAGCGGATTGGAGGACTACAGAGGAGCAAACGATAAGTCTTCATTTTCATGGTTGAAGTACTAAGCGTTTTACTATCATTATCATTATTATTGTTATTTCGATATCCCTACCAAATATCTAACGGGACTTGTAAAGCAACGCTTCTTAATCCGTACAAATTCATTGTTCCTCGCATTATAGAGTATGTATGATCCTTTGACCTGGATGACGCCTATGGACTTATTGAGATATGCTGTTTGGGATATGAAGGGATGGCCAACTATGCATGTTAAACGGTTGGCACCTCTCCGGCGTACATTGGTGACTGACTCCTGTATATTGCATCTCAGTCAATTCCCCATGTTGAGACTTCTGTTTCATGTGCGCGCACCAAGCAGCACTTGCGGGCACCGGTACAAGGTAGTGGTACCGGACCTAAAGCGGTGAGCTCACTGTCTATGCTTCGAGCGTCGGGTGGTGAAAAACTAGAGCGAGAACATAATCGAGGCGAAATCGATGTCAGAATTCAAGCAGTTCCTACACGTCCGCTCCGCATATTTCAGATTCAGGGAGCACATCGCACCCGAATAGCATATGATGCTGTTGTAAGACACAAAAGACGCGCAGGAATCAGTTACGTGATTCCGCGCACTGCTCCAACTCACTACAATGCAGCATCACAGAAGCTTATACTAGCTTTCTATTTTCATTATTCATCATTCTTATTTCCCATTGGCCCAGTGGATTTACAGTGTTCTATTTCATATTTATCAGTATACATATTTTTGATAATCATCTTTGGTTGGAACACTTTTGTTATATTTTTCAGGAGATCATCTGGTCTACTCAAGGAACAAATTGCTCAATGCGTTTAACCAGTTCATTGTCACACCGGAACGAGTCGACTTCTCCGAGTTCGAAGCCTTCCACCAAGGCGTCTCTATCGGACTGTCCAGTTGTCTGGCTGACTCCGCATCAGAACAGTCGAACTCAGAGCTCCTTGTTTCTATCATGAAATCCAATTACTCCACTCTCCTCCATCCTCTTCCCAATTCGGACAAATTCGAACGCTTTATTCGCTTATGCTGGGGAGTCCAAGCAAATTGTTATGACTAGACTGCCCTGAAGTCTGTCTGTGATAGTTTCTACCTTGTGTACTGTGCTGATGTCAAAGTCGGTATTTCTAACTTCATTTACACTATTCGTAGCTTGGTGTTGGATGTCATTTTTCGTAATACAAAACACTATCTTTTCAAATACTTCTCAAATAGAGAGATACCATATACTACGAGGAACGCTCTATTTTTAAAAGCACGTTAGCTGGAGGTGGGAAGCACCTCAGCTACTGTGCCCCAATACATAAAAAGGGCGATATTGCGCGACATATACTTCACTACCATGCAAGTTAGAAAAGTTGCAGTGGCCGGATTCGCCCCGAAACACACGACGTCCACTGGCACTATGTATTACAAAATGGGATTTAGAAGTTGTTATATCGGATATATTTTGATGTACTCATGAGTAGGGGATTTTGATGTATTATTATTTATTAGTATACATGTTACCTAGAGGTGAGAAACACCTCAGCTACTGTGCCGCAATACCTAAAAGAAAAAAGGGTATAAAGTGCAACAGGTGCAAGCCAGCTGAGCTACCGGTAACGGATGGGCATCGTTCCGGTAAGCTACCTGCCGGCTACTATGCAGCAGAAAAAATAAGTTACTATGCAAAATTATAAAAGGCTAAAAGGTTGAGATAGTGGTTGGAGGGGGCGGCTAAGAGGGATAGGGTGGGGGAAAAAACTCACAGTACGAACGCCACTGAGGTCGGCTCCTAGCCATATCAACAAGTGTATTCAGCCAAACATGTTCATCATCTTTCGGACCCCAACCAGGGAGCCGAGACGCTCCAACTGAGGCCAACTTCGAAGTGAGGGCCTTCATTCCTCTCGACAAAGTCATCGCTTGGCCACCTCTCCTCTTCTTCCATCCACACTCCCGGCGCGCAAACAACGCACGTCGCGAGAGTCGGTGGGCTGGCATGCGTAACATGTGGCCGAGCCATCGGAGCCTGGCGCGTGAAATAACGGTGCTGAGCGGTTCATTTCCTTTTCCTGTGCCGTAAACAAGGCGTCGAACACGCTCGTTGCTCACGCGGTGTTCCCACCAGATGTGAGCTTAATTGCGAAGGCACCGGTGGTCGAACGTAACTAGCCTCTTTATGTCCGTTGACCTAAGGGGCCAGGTTTCACAACCGTACAGTAGGGTCGAACGTACCACTGCATTGTACACTCTACCCTTCAGAGCGAGAGTGATGTCGCATCGGCGCCATAAGTGGCGAAGGTTAGCAAAATCGCCTCGAGCTTTTGCTATACGGTTCGTGATCTTATCTTCAATCCCAAGGGCGCTGATACAACTTCCCAGGTAGTTGAATTTCTGAACGACTTCCAGATGATCCCACCAATGGTCAGCGAAGGAGGCGATCCAGGCCAATCTTGGAGGAACGCTTTGCACTTCGAGGGTGCGAAGCAAAGCCCGAAGCGGATGACAGCCAGTGCTAATCTGTCCAGTGCCGTTTGGTACGTCTGGAAGCTGTCACAGATTAGGGCAATGTCATCAGCATACTCCTATTCAAAAAGTCGTTTTCCTGGGAGCAGATCCACATCTTCTAAGTCGTGTCCTGTGAACGCGATTTCCATGACTTTGTCAATAGCGAAGTTGAAGAGGAAAGGTGACAGCGGGCATCCTTGTCTCACACCGCTGGAGATATTGAAGGGCGACGACAGCTTGCCTTAAGCCCTCACTCTGCGAAAGCTACGCCCGTATAATGCTCGGATATTATTTACATATTTCTCAGGTACAGCTTTCCTGAGTAGACAGTCCCAAAGTGCACGTCTATCCACTGAATCGAATGCACCTTTGATATCGAGGAACACGACAACGGTGGGCCGCCAATATGTGTGACGGTGCTCCAACAACTGACGCAAAGTGAAGATGTGGTCAATGCAGCCACGACCTCGACGAAACCCGGCTTGCTCTTCACGAATATGGCTTTCACAAGTGCCAGTCAGTCTGTGAAGGATGACACAGGCAAGCAATTTGGAGGCGATGGAGATCAGACTGATTGCTTTATGGTTGCCGCATTCTCATCGTGAGCCTCCCTTGAAAATTGGGACTATGACGGAACGGCTCCAGACGATTGGGACAGCTTCCTTCTACCATAGTTTCACTAGTAACACGTATTAATCATCTACAAGAGCAGGTCCTCTGAACTTGAAAAGGTGTGGAGGAAGATCATCTGGTCCTGCTGCTTTAATTAAGTTCAACAGTGCAATCTCACCTTTGACTTCTGAGCGAGAAGGTGGATCGCAATGTGATCGATTTGCGTCCATAGCTGGTTCGATTCTGGTGGGCGCCAACTCATCCTCCGGCGAGTGCTGTATCGGTAATTAGTGCTCGCAAGAAATAAGCGAGCATCTTCACACAAATGAAGTAACCAATCACTGTCATCATTACGGGAGCCTACAACGTGCTGATCGCCCAGATGCAGTTCCTTCGTGGATAATTTTCCGACTTGAGCGTTCAGACCCCCAGCAAGCACAACAGTGTCCGAGCATCTTCTATGGCGAAGGAGCTCGTTCGGTTGGCGGTAGAAGTCGTCTTTTACCGAGTCATTGCTAGAGTTTATGTGTGCATAGACAGCCTTGACCAATAGACACCCGTTAGTGCCGGGCGACTTCGAAGCTTTGAATGAGCCAGCCAATCGGACCGCACACATCCGGTCTCTGGTTGGGATTTAATCAACCAGAGTAGCTTCAGCTCGGGGACTCAGGGCATTACCAACACCTGTTTGGCGGGTGCTCGAAGTTGCATCGTCACAGGATAGGCTCAATGAGAAAGTGCTAATGGTGTCACCTGAAGGTGATGGCAAAGTGAGCAAAGAGCTCGAGGCTTGCAGGCGGGTCCCCGATAAGCAGCAGACATTGATTGAGCGGGTCTCTAAAGTTACTGGCAAGTGCTGCCTGTTGACCGATCTGTAGCAATGTGAGTGCATTGAGCCATGCCAATCTGAAACAGGATCCAGGGCTCTGAATGGAAGCCGATGAACTGGGGTGGACCGCTTGCTTGGACATGGGCTTGTCGACAGGGCAAGAATGATGCCCCGCGTTTGCATGCGAGTTGAAACTAGAAGATAAACGCCTAGCAAAGTATGTTGGGGGAGAGCCAAGAATCAGGAGGTTGAAAACTGGAGAGGGTGCAACAGCGGAGGGGAATAGGAAGATGGGGAGGCTTAAGCAGTAGCATCCAAAGCCCTATCCACCCTGCTCGATGCAGCAGATAGGGCATCGTTGTTTACCCTCTGCGATGGCCAGAGCATTAGGAAATTATTTGCCGAAAGAAAGTGGAACGCTGACTGATAGGCGCGAAAGCTGATTGCCAACGCGCGCGTGTTGTCACGTCCCAACGGAAAGCTGACGAAATCACTCATCAGACATCATGCGTGTTGCCAAGGTCTGCCCTGAAGCTGATGAAATCGCGCATCAGGCATCATGTAGGTTACCATGCTCAGGGAAGGCGGATGAAGACTGGCGTGCCCGAGCAAGACGGTGAAGTGGCCAGACGGAGAGGACAGTCAAGTGTGGAGCATGGACGTAGGAGAAAGACAGATGGCCAAATCCGCCAGACTATGTTTAGATGATTGCTGAGACCGACCTATATATATATATATATATATATATATATATATATATATATATATATATATATATATATATATATATATATATATATATATATATATATATATATATATAGTTGGCGGCATCCGGTTTCGGATTTGCCTGTCACTGTGGCAAGCCACAGGACGCCTGCGCCTACAGAGGGACCATGGGTGGCTTGCGCTGCACCACCCACAGCTCCATCCACACACCCTATATGCAGTGTAAACCCGAAGGAATAAGACCGGGAGGCATGCGGATGGGAGCCACGTTTCATCAACGGAGCCGGCCCACACTCCTTCACAGGCAAACACAAGCACGCTGTATTTGGGAACCAAGCGTATACAAGGCGGTGGCTGGACCGTAGTCCGCTCCACACTGAGTGCATAGAACCACTCTTTCATCCTAACACGGCCACAAGGATCGTGCACCCCGTCCCCTCCAGCAACGACCAACTGTCTCCTGGAGCCAGTATGGACGAGGTAGTGGGTAATAGACAGGTAGGCACCTTGTCAACATGCACATCAAGCGCAGCCACACCGGGGATATCAAACAACAGCCAAACACTTGAGAGAGAGAAAGAAAATAACTCGATTGGTGCATAAGGAAACGGTGACATAAACCTTAAGTTAATGAGCATATAAAATAAGTTGTTTACAAACGAATCCTAGATAAGTTCACGAGGTCAGAAAGTATACTTTACGGAAATGCCACGAACACAAAAATGTTATGGAAATCGAATACAATTGGCTTAAGTGAGGTGTGCAAGTTAATGGAATAGAGTACATGTAGACATTTATATGAGAAAGAAAAGCATTAGGGCAAAATTGAAAACCCACCACCTGAAATAAAGAGACTTAGCATGCAAGCACGCGGTTAGTAAATCGAATGCAGCGTATCTACAGACGCTGCGCCGGTTTTGAATACTTCTCTGCAGGACCCGTCGTCGCTTCGGTAGTGGTCCCGAGTGGCCTCGCTCATGGCTCACTAAGCCTGCCTGACTAAGGCACTCGCGACCGCATGTGCTACAGCACCATGCGCTCGATGTCAATGGAGTACAACCCATCGGTGCTTGCCGCTTCCGCACTTGCCGCTTCTTCTCTGCATGCATGAGGGCTTTCTCCCGCACTTCAGCAACTGCCTTCGTGATTAGATCGCGCCATGCACGCCGATCAACCGCCTTCGATTCCCATGATCTGCAATCAAGATTAGAACGTGTGAGGCTCACTTTGATCATGTCCTGCTAACGTAACTTTGGTTTCCCCACATGCCGCTTCCCAATACTCAGCTGACCGTATAAGAGTTGTTTCGGTATCCGCGTCGAATCCATACGGCTCACATGACCGAGCCATCTCAGGTGTCGCAGTAAAAGTATGCCGTCCACTGCATACATCCCACT